AGCAGCGGCGGCGGCAGGGCAGCGGCAGACGGCGGCAGGGCAGCGGGGGCGGCAGGTTTGCAGCGGCGGCGGCAGGTTAGCAGCGGCAGCGGCAGGGCAGCGGCAAGCAGCGGCGGCAGGGCGGCAGCGGCTCTCGAACACACCTCAATGAAAGCGGCGGTGGAAGCTGCTGAGCAGAAAGACGTAAGCAAGCTAACTAGCTGGCGGCAGCGAGAGGGGATGTAACCTTTTCGGCTCAAGGCTGCGAGGTGCGTAACCCCGAGCGGACCCAATGCCAGCGTTGCCACAGGTGATTTGATTTCCTGTGACGGTAGCTTAGTCAGCCAGGCGTGTTTCGTAACATTTTTACTTTAAAGTCCTTTTGGACTAGGTGCCATCTGGAGCAGGGGCAAGACCCCTAGTAAAAGTCGTACTGTTGATAGACTGACGACCAAAATTTTAAGTGTCTCCTCCCGTAACCTCCTCTCCGCTCTGCGAGGCAGATGGGAGCCATGGCTTACCCCTTACTCTTCTGCTTCCTGCTCGTTCATCTGGGATTGGGAGTTGTTGGCGCTAGCCGCGACCCTCCGGGTCGGCCGGATTCCCCTCGAGAGAGCACCCTGAGGGCGAAGCAGCACTCCCAGCAGTGGGCTCGAGCCTCTGCCTCGGACGCCTCAGCTCCCTGGAGCCGCTCCACCGACGGCACCATCTTGGCGCAGAAACTCGCCGAGGACGTGCCCATGGACATGGCCTCTTACCTCTACACCGGGGACTCCCACCAGCTGAAGCGAGCCAACTGCTCCAGTCGCTACGAGTTGGCGGGCCTGCCGGGAAAGTCGCCTGCCCTAGCCAGCTCCCATCCCTCCTTGCACGGGGCGCTGGACACGCTGACACACGCCACCAACTTCCTCAACATGATGCTGCACAGCAATAAGTCGCGGGAACAGAACTTGCAGGATGACCTGGAGTGGTACCGGGCACTAGTGCGGAGCCTCCTGGAGGGTGAGCCCAGCATCTCCCGGGTGGCCATCACCTTCAGCACGGAGTCGCTGTCCGTGCCGGCCTCGCAGGTCTTCCTCCAGGCCACACGTGAGGAGAGTCGCATACTGCTCCAGGACCTGTCCTCCTCGGCACACCACCTGGCCAACGCCACGCTGGAGACCGAGTTGTTCCACGGCCTCCGGCACAAGTGGAGGACCCACTTACACCGCCGCGGCTCCAATCAGGGGCCCCGGGGCCTGGGCCATAGCTGGCGGCGCAGGGACGGACTTAGCGGGGACAAGAGCCATGTCAAGTGGTCCTCGCCTTATCTGGAGTGCGAGAACAGGAGTTACAAGCCCGGGTGGCTGGTCACTCTCTCCGCTGCTTTCTATGGGTTGCAGCCTAACCTGGTCCCGGAATTCAGGTAAGGAGGGAAAAAAGATAAAAGCAACGTCTTCTTTCCGGTTTCATGGTTAGTTGAGCGTGTGGGGAAGGAATGCATGGCTGTGACACTTAACGCCTCCCACTGTCAAAGCAGAGACCCAGGCTGAGGGACACCCCAGGCAGGCGTATGTGCTTAGGGACAAGAAGCACCCCGCGTTTGTCAGTTTCAAACACTCTGTGAAAACCGTTCTCTCAAGTCAGTTCCCCGGCAAGGGGCAAAGGACGGGCAGCTCTTGGTAGAGCTGAGATATGCCGTGTTTCTCTCTAACCCTCCGGAGATCAGAGGGGAGTTCCCCGACAGGGATGTTGCACTGAAATCTGGTGAGCTCAATAATAGTTCTGTATTTTCCTGCCTGAAGGTATAGCATTTGTGGGAAGGTGCAAAGTTACAAATTAGCAGGTGATAACTTATGCTCTGAGATGTGCCTGATCTTTGGGGTGAGGAACTCCTAAGAGCCCTTAAGAGTGAACGTGAACAGAAAGGAGAGCTGAAACTCCAAAGAGTGCCTGGGAGAGGGTATAGATTGGAATCCTCCTCAAATCCCAGTGGGAAGAAGGTTTTAGGGGTTGAGCTGCTTCTCTACCTCTTGGGAAACTGGGCAAAAGTGAGAAACGTGTGTGTGCGTGTGCGTGTTTTAATGCCCTTTTGGCACAAGGACAGGATGATGACTTGGTGAAAGATACCAGCAGGAGC